GGAGCAGGGCAAATCCCTGCATAAGGGGCGTGGGTTGCTAGTCCCAAGGATAAAGCTTGAGACAATTTATTCATGCAACATACTCGTGTACCTGTGCTTTAAGACTTGCCACACCAAAAATGATTATTAAAGTAAATGTGTGTGGAAGGTATTAACCCTCCTACTATTTACACAGTCACAGACAGCCAAAAAATGTCCATCCACTACCCGTGGTATACTTTGAACACAGGCTAGTCACCAACAGTCGGACCATATGTCAAGCAACCACTGTGTCTAGTCAAATTCAGTCAACATGAGCAGACAAAACATGGAAGTTGTGGGCACAGCTGGCTTATCAATCGCTCACAGTCAAAGCAAAGCAAAGCTGTATCAAGTTACATAAACAGTCTCCCCAATATATGTATCCATACACTCGGGGCAGTTGAGTTTGTATATGACACCGCATTTGTTTGAGTCGGGAGTCTTATCCTTAGGATGTACAAGGAAGGACCTGATTGTATTAATCGGCTTGTGGTAGGTGTTGACACTGTGGTCGCGGAATATGTTGGTCAGTTTTTCCGAGACCCCTTTGATGTATGGAAGGGGGATGTTTTGTTTCCTCAGTTGACCATCACTTTTTATTGCTAAGTTTCTTTTTCTTTGGTTTTGGAGTTTTGAACATCCATGTTTTGTAACCGTTGGCTATGAGCGCAGACTACACGTGGTTGAGTTCTTCTTTTTTGTCTTGTTTTGTTGTGACCAGATTGTCTATCCTGTCCATCACTGTCCGCACAACTGACTGCTTATGTTCTAGATAGTGGTTGGCATCAAAGTTCAAGTATTGGTCAGTGTGTATCGGTTTCCGGTAAATGGTGACCTTGGTGTTGCCATCATCCCTGACGTGGATGCATGTGTCAAGGAAAGAAAGTTTTCCTTCTTGCTCGGGTTCGTTGGTGAATTTAATGTTGGGGTCGAGGTTGTTGATGTGATTGGTGAACTCCTCAATATTATACCCGTGAATAAGGACGAAAGTGTCATCGACATATCTGCACCATCTTGATGGTGGGTGGGGTGCTGTAGCAAGAGCTTTGGTCTCAAAAGCTAAATATGTGGTGTTAAGACAAAAAGTGAGTAGTTCCAATATTTGTTCCATATTCGACGGGCTGCAACTCACCAAGGTATCCTCTTGTTCAAGTTTTTTTCCTTACTGCTTCAATGGCATCCGATACAGGTATGTTCGTAAACAGTGCTGAGACATCATATGAAATCAACTTTTGTCCTGGCGGGACCTCGAGGTTGTTGATTTGATTGACGAACTCTCCACTGTTCTGGATGTTGTGCTTGGTTTTCCCAACTAGTGGACTGAGTATGTCAGCTAAAACTTAGACATCATTGTATGTCAAACTACCAATACTTGATACAATTGGTCGCATCGGGGCCTCTGGTTTGTGGATTTTTGGAGTACCGTAGATCTTGGGAACTTCTTCTGAGTTTGGGTAAATCTTATACTTGATCTCCTTGGGTATGGGATCCTCACTGTTTTGCCATCGGCGAATTTTCTCAATTAACTCACATTTGTATGTTGGGATCAGATCTTTGTTCAGCTTTTTGTATGTGTTGTTGTCACTGAGCAATGTCTCCATCTTGCTTTCATAGTCCGAGGTATTCAGAACCACTGTTGCACGGCCCTTGTCTGCTGGCAGGATGGTGATATTGTCATCTTTCCTCAACTCAAGGAGTGCTTGGTATTCACCTTTGTTGATGTTGCTTGGTGGGAGCTTGGATTTCCAACACATTTCACGAATTCTCCTTGTAGACTTTGTGCTTTTGCAGACGGTAATTTCCGACATGCGATTTCCGTGCTTACCACAATATCTTTGATGGGTAATTGCCTCGGCGTGACGGTGTAGTTAAGCCCTTTTTCCAGGATGGATTTCTCATTTTCGCTGAGAATTCTGCCCGATTTATTAATCACCCATCTGTTTTTGTTGACATCGGACTTTTCCGAAAGGTTTTGCTGAGAGTTTTCACGTTTCGATGATACTAGTTTCGAGAACTTGTCACGTTGTTTGTTCTTTACGTTCTCAAATTCTCTACTGCGCATGTGTAGAAGGTGAGAGGTTAATTTCTGTTGTCTGCGATCATCAACCCCGCGAACAATTCGGTTTCAACAATCTGCAGCTCATCCTGTAGTTTCGAAATAGTAAATGAGCACTTTCTGATTCAAATATTCAATAATTGTTTCTCGGCTTTATGGATTACTGTTTGTGCTTTTGTTCCCGCGACCTCCAATTTTAATTTCAGACTCCTGGGAATGATATAGGCTCTGGTACACCTGATGTTGAAAATGCGATGGTTTGTCCATTTAGCGATTTTTAGCGATGATTTTTTCTGCTTTTCGGAGGGTCTTAAGGACATCATGTCCATGTTGACGTAAAATAGCAGCATGGATACTGATATTGGACTCTGTCATATTGATATAGGAATAAAAGTTACCGTTCAGAATCTGATTTTGTTGAGCATGACGTAGCTTGCGAGGTCGTCACAACCTCTTCATTCAGTGTTGTGGCTAAATCCCTCGGCTCACGTGACCACATTTGGGGCGGTCACGTGACCGCCTCAGACTCTGAAAGGTAACTATTATTCCTGTATCAATATGACAAAGTCCAATATCAGTATTCATGCTGCAACTCCTTACCTCATAAGGAGATTGGCGTGCGCGTCATGTGAACTGCATGATGTCGCTCAAAACACAGCTGGGCTGGTGTAGTGTGAATTTCGAACTATAAAATACCTTTTCACTGGCAGTATTGCGCATGCCTACGTGAGGTAAAAGGAACTGGATTTCATGGGAGTCAAAATTTCATGTGACACTGGAAGAGTGTTTTAGACCAGCCAGCCATGTCTTTATCATCCGTTTAAGACCGGCCACATGACGGGCTCTCAACCAAACAGAATGGGTTAATTGTATTAGGTATTTATGAATGACTCTTTCAAACCATAGAGCAAGGCTTGAATTTTCGTAATTTGATTACATCGTATGACAAAGAAATACTTGGCGTCGGTTCATAAAATAACTCTTTCTTATTGTTACAATGAAATTAATTGTTCCAATGCCATGGTTTGATGGGATGAAAGTCCAGGGAAAAATTTTTTTTTTTTAGTTGAAGTTCAATTATATGAGAAGATAATAGAGAAGAAAAGTTTACATTTTATAAACATTTTATTAGCAAAGAATTCCTAAGTTCCAGTTTAATTTAATTTTTTATTTCAATAACAAAAGTTAAGTAACGGCAACAAGAGAACAAAAGTAGTTATATTAAGATTGAGGCATGATTTTAAACAGCTGAAGCTTGCATGCCTATGGTTCCGTTTAAAGGGACCCCTTCAATGGCCAGAAAAGGAGAGTTTGGGGAGACCTAGACTGGTTCCGGGTCCATATGCTACGTATTTCAAATGATCCAAAGTTATTGGGGGCTAAGATTTGTCTAGAAGACCATCACAAGTTAATATTAGTATTATTATTATTATTATTATTTATTCGACCAAAACAATACAGAATGAGCAAACACGGTATAAAAACAAAAACCAAACAAAAATGTATGAAAACTACGAAATACAAAATATAACAACTTGAAATAAACACAAAATATAGTACACTGTATAAGTATAAGTGTAAGTGTAGGGGCCACAAAAACAACTTGCCGACAATGCCTGACGCTTACGTGCGAAGACGCTCACGTGCGAAGACGCTCACGTGCGAAGACGCTCACCTGCGAAGATGTTCACGTGCGAAGATGCTCACCTGGGAAGACGCTTATGTGTGAAGATGCTCACCTGCGAAGATGCTCACGTGCGAAGACCCTCACTTGCGAAGACTCTTACGTGCAAAGATGCTCACCTGCGAAGACGCTCACGTGCGAAGACGCTCACGTGCGAAGACGCTCACGTGCGAAGACCCTCACTTGCGAAGACTCTTACGTGCGAAGATGCTCACCTGCGAAGACGCTCACGTGCGAAGACGCTCACGTGCGAAGACGCTCACGTGCGAAGATGCTCATGTGCGAAGACGCTCACGTGCGAAGATGCTCACCTGCGAAGACGCTCACCTGCGAGGACGCTATGGCAATAGCTTTGTGCACATTCAGGATAATAAGTTATGCATACTTTGCGCCCGTAAAAACACTCCCCTCTTTTGTTGGCGTACGAAGCCCGTACTTAAATGCAAAACTGTAAAAAGGACTTCAAATATTTTAAAGGAAAAACCCCCAAAAAACAGACAAACCAATAGACAAGTAAAAACAATAACCAAGGACGGATTGACTAACGTACAGACAACAGAGGTCAAAGATTTACATCATAATGAGTCTAAATAAATACTGGGAGGAAATAGGGAGCAAACTAGCCAGTCAGTAATAGAAAGAAAAAGATGCTATGCTAAATAATGGGACACAACATAGTTATTGAAACTTCTTTGAATCGGCCCACAGAGGACTGTGATTTTATAGACTGATCAAGTCCATTCTGCAAATGAGGCCCACAGAAATGTTGGGGTGATTAGGAAATGTAATGTGGGTGTGAATGGAACACACAATTAGTTACATCAGAAAATATACGTTTTATGAACAAGAATTCTTAGTTAAAATTTATTGATATTAGAAGAACAGAAAGAAGAAACTTCTACACTTTAATTACACTTATAAGCAAGAAATATCTAGTTCCAATTTAGTTTAATATAGCAAATGACTAGAAAGGAAAATTTACTTCTTTTTTTTACATTTTATGAACAGAAAATCCTTAGTTATCAATAAAACCAAATGATAGAAAAGGAGTGTCCAAAAAGCAACAAACCAGATTACAGACAATGCCAGTAACTGTTTTTGAACATGAAATGAATATTTAATGTGTAAAGTTTTACCAAGATTGGTATATATCTAAAGGATTCAACTATCACATTCTATCCCAATTGCTAAGAACAATGGAAACTGGAGATAGAGAGATTACATACTTTTTTTTTTCAGGAGGCATATTCTAGCAAGGATAGTAAACATTCTGCCCAAAGTTTGTCAGTGGCTGCTACTGTCTCCTTGTTTGGTAGTGTGGCTGCTAGTGAGAACCTGAAGAGTGATAGGCGAGATTTTGTCCGTATGCCAGCATTCCTGCAGCTTCCGAATTGCAGTTGTGCACCTCATGTGATGCAGTTTGTACCGGTCTTACCAGGAACCACTATGGTGATAGTTAGTCAGGTGAGTTTTGTTGTTCTTAATGTTGTTGCATGATTTTTTTATTCAGATGTATGCATTAACCCATAACATCTTCTCGGGGACATTTAAGTGTGACTGGCAGTGGTTCATTCCCTTTTGTAATAGTTGATGCAGTACTTGTGTATGGAGCCAATACAAACAACTTACCCCTGGTTCAGACAGGCGTTCCAGAGTCGCGCTGAACCAAATAGATTTTGGTTTCAGACAGGCAAACTTAATACACTGGAGTATTGTAGACAAACAATGAACAAACAATCTCAACAAGAAGTTGGTATTGCCAACACTTTTGTGGTTTTTACGCATCAGGAGAGTGGCAGAAACCATGAAGGTCAACAGACAAATTCTGATCTGAATTATGGCCCAAAGGAAGAAATATAAGGACGCTGCAGAACATTGCCAACTATGTTGTTGCGACTTCTTGCCGCTCTCCTGCTGCTTTTTTCTAACACAGCTGTCACAACGCACCATCGTCGTCACCAACTGAGTTGGCACTTTGGCTGGTAGGATTTTGTACGGGTAACTTCTCAGATGTGAGATTCGAGCAGAAGTTCAGGTAATAAGGCATAATACTGACATTGTAATAGGTAAAGACTATAGGATTAGGAGGCACTGGCCCAATTTACATTCAAAGCTATAGCCCTACAGTCTTGGTAAAAGATCCATTGCAGTGTAATCGACTGTAACGTGGTTATGGCACATCTGTTAATTTAAAGCTTCAAATTTTAAACAGTCTGTTATTTGCTGCGCAAGTTTTAGAAATTAACTTATCCTTCAATAATGGCGCAAAAAAAAAATCATTTTGAATTAAATATCTAAATATTAGATTGGTAAAGGTACTAGCACATTGAATTTTAAAAAGAAATACCAGAAATGTCAAGATTTACTCATCCCTTGGCACAACCTCCTAGAACGAAGTTAAAAGGAAATTGGCATCATATGATTAAAATTGTTCTAAGATCATATGACCAATGTATAAATAATTTTTTCTGTTGGAAAAGGAGACAATTGCAGAACCCATATCACCAGAATACAGGTTGGCAGTGTGTTTGTATCGCCTTTGGAGTGGGGATTACTACACATCGCACTTATCAGAAGTTACACAAGCTACTGTGGATGTCATTTGGGTTGAGTGCATCAGCACAAAGTTTCCTCAGATCAAGGATGACTTTAGAGAAAAAGTGATCAATATGGAAGGACTCTGGCAGTTGCCATATGCCTGGTCAGCTGTTGATGTCTGCCATATACAATCCAGAATCCTCCAGGTGGTCCAGAATCAAAAAAGAAATACCACAACTTTAAAAACTTTATTCAATGATATTAATTGCAGTGGTAGATACTCAATACAGGTTTATTCGGGGATCCTGTGGTTATCCAGGTACCGGTAACTCTCATGACTCACTCATTTTCAATTCTACACCACTTCACACAGACATCCAAGACAATGCTGTGATTCAGCAATTTGGTCATGCAGTAGGTGATGTGCATGTTCCACCTCTCACCCTTGGAGATTCAGCATTCACAGTGCATCCTTAGCAATGAGAATGAAACCTCACACTAATGCTGTACCTGATGCCAAACAAAGAGAGTGGCATGATAAACAGAGTCAAATGCTTTACTTAGATCTATAAAAACAATGCCTGTTATTTCCCCACGCTCCATACCCTTAAAACAGTTGTTTGTTAAATCATGTAAGGTAGTTTTAGTTGAATGTGAGGGCCTAAACCCTGACTGACAACAAGGAATCAGATTACTTTCAATATAAAATGCTGAGTGTATCCATCTATCCAGAATCTTAAAGACAAACGGCAGTATAGAAATAGGCCAATATTTAGTTGTATTGCACTTATCTCCACCCTTGTGAGAAAACCAAGGTGTGTTTCCACTCATAAGGGTATTGTTCACCTCTTATCGAGAGATTAAAGATGTGCATTAAGGGTTTAGTTATGTACGGAGACGCTATTTTAGGCCAAAAAAAAAAAGTTTCCGGTTTCTGGTATGGAGCTTGCTCAAAAAGTGGTGCGGCGACGCGGCTTTTTTTTTTTTTTTACTCGACTTTTTTGCTTCAAATGTCGGCTGATGACTGCAAATGGTGCCTGACTAAACTTTGTGCAAATATATGGGAGTCCAGAGAGGCCACATAAAGCTTATTCTCGATCATAACCCCATCTAAAAACAGGTTAAAATTGTGCAGCAGCAGGATTCCAGTTAAACCAGTGAGTTTGGCAGTTTTGAGACATCATCTTGCATTGAAAAAAAAACTTTTTCATTTTGCCGACGCGCATGGCTACCGCGACGCGCGCGCATACCAGAAACCGGAGACTTTTTTTTTTTGGCCTTAAGAGTCTTTTTGTGTAAATACTTAATATAAGTGTCCACACTAAAAATATCGAATTTTTTTATACTTCGTGGGATGAAAGGACTTGGGGAGTAAGTAACCAAAATAGACTATTTAAACTATATATTGCCCTGTTGCCATGGTTACGGGCCATTTTTATGCAAAAAATCAGTTTTCAAAGGTCACCAAGCCAGAATGGGAAGTAATGGCACAAAAGTAAAATCAAGATAAAGTATCATCCTTGCAGCATGTTTTTACAACTAGCAAAATTGCATTTTGTTTTTACCCATTTTTAATCCTAAAAAAGGCCACTTGCCAGGGGCAGCCAGGGCACTCTGAATTTATACCCTTTGGCTATGGTTAGTTCAGACATTGGTCTTTTCATACCTGGTGAGAAAATCTTGGGTTATTGTATCCTTTGTGCAGTAGCGCTCCAAAAATGTAAATGTCCATCCGTCCGTCCGGGCAGCTTAGTTTCCGGATGATAACTTGAGTTAGAAATGTTGTTTGGGGTTGTAACTTCGGTAGGGGTTTGCCCTTGGGAGTAGGCAAGTTGGGATTAGTTTGGGGTCAAAAGGTCAAAGGTCAAAGGTCAAGGTCAATGGTTTCCGGATGATAACTTGAGTTAGAAATCACATTTTGAAAGCAAGTTCGCATCTTCTGCCAATTTTAAATAATAAGGCACTTCCGGTTTCGACCGGAAGGAAGGGTCACATGATTTTCCACTTAATACCGAAAATTATGTCCCTGCAATATTGTACCGATTGCCATAAAAAAACAAAATCAAATCTGTAGCAGTTGATTTACATTGATTTTCAAAGATTAAATCTGGAAATCTTTGATTACTTGTAATATGATACTTGATGACGTCATTGTAATGTCATTACCTGAACATTCGAGAGCTACGTAACTGTGTTATATATAGCCAAATCTTGATTATATCTATCACGGTATTTTTTTAGAAATTGTTTATTTTTTATTTTTTATTTTTTTTTTTTATCCCGGGGATAACATTTTATTGCTCTTCAATCAGCTCTCATCCATTGACAAACAAATACAGTACTGGCTAAGGATACAGATCTAATCAATGTCAAATTAAACACAAGGGATTACTCTTGACACAAAACAGAATAATTTGCCCATTTTGAACAAAATTTCTGTACAACTCCATTTACAACAGACATATATTTTTCACAGATATAGTACCTCCTGAGATCTTTTTTAAAAGCTACAAAAGATGGACGTTTGTCACTCATTTTCATTTTGTAAATGTGGAATCGACAAATTAAAAATATAAGATTGAGACATTTGAATCTACTATCAGTAATACCAAACAAAAGAAGCTCATTGTCTACCACGAAACCAGTATTAGTCTTGTCCTTGATCCAATCTATAATTGAATTCCAGAAGGAAGTGACATGACGGCAATTACAAAAGAGGTGAATAAGGGTTTCTTCTTCGTCCTTACAGAAAGTACAAACATTGGAACCTAACTTGTTAACTTTAAATGAAAACGAATTAGTGCCCAATATTCTGTGGATTAAACGGTACTGAAACCATTTAAGCTTCGAATCAACCGTACAATTAAAAGGTACATTAAATACCTGAGACCATTTACCAAAATCGTAATTGATTTGTAGTTTCCCTTCCCATTTGTCCACAAACTTTCTAACGACTTTTTTAGATGAGATAAAAATATCATACAATCTGCGAGAACCCTTTTTATCGCTTAAAAGAACGTGAAAATTAAAGGGAACAAATGGAAACGGAACGTTTATATTATTCACCAACAAATTATTAAAAACGACCTTAATTGCTCGGACTACAGCTCCATATTCAATAAAATTTGACCGAACATTGAACTTGTCCCTGAAGTCGGCCAATGATAGAAAACAACCATTGTCGTCTAAAAGATCACATATAAAGTGAATTCCAGCTGACGACCAGTGCTCATAATGGATGCACTTATTACCGACCTTAATCAGGTTATTGTACCACAGCGTGGTTTTTAAAACGTCACTTTGACTGGAGGGTTTGTGAATCAGAGTAAATTTCTGCCAGAAGTTCAGTACATCAACCCCAAATTGATTACTATGAAACAAAGCATTACGAGCAAAGAGTAAATCGATTGATCCTCCTTCTATATGCAATAACCGGTCATGAATACCAAGTATTTTACGACACAGGTATGCCCAACCAGTATTATCTGAAACAATCAATCGACGCAGCCAAGTAATTTTAAGAGAGTCCATGTATGCCCTAACGTCAACCATTCGTAAACCACCCAACTTATAATCTTGAGTCATCTGGTTTCTGGATACTCGATCATTACCTTTCCAAATAAAATTAAAGAACATAACATTAAGATCATTAACAATATTGCAAGGGGGGTTAGGTAAAGTAAGAATAAAATATGTAAGTTTTGACATTAGGAGTGATTTCACCACAGTCACTCTTCCCAAAACCGTTAGGTTCCTTTTAGACCACTGTGCAATAAGTTTTCTAAGTGATAAAATAACATTACTATAGTTAATCAAAGTCATGGACTCCAAATCAGTCGAAAAAGTAATACCTAACACTTTGAAGGTATCGCGAGGCGATATCCAATTAACATTGATATCATCACACAGTTTATCGGTGCAATCCT